GAAATAGTCGCGTCTAGCTGCACAAGCTCCACGTTCTTGGAAGCTAGGATGCGTCGAATATCCCTTGACTGTAAATCGGTAGGAGGCAAGTTGCCGTTGATGACTTTGGTAAGTTCTGGATCCATTGGCTTGCCACTACCGTGCTACGTCACGGTGTCTCGAATCAGACTTGAATTATATGGAGCCAAAGACCCACCTGTGGGCGGCACAGACTATATGCGGTCTATTCCAAGCAAGACCGTCCGAAACTTGGACCCTGCCGTTTTGACGGTGGGGGTTGAGAGAGAAAAGAGAGGTCGTCCAAACAACGAAAAATAGCTGACACAGCCCTAGCACTTTTTCACACGACCATCATGTCCTTCGCGTTCCTCCCCTTCCCGTATCTCTCCTCCTACACTCTGCCCGTCCAGTTTATTCTCCTCCTCCTCATCGTCGCGATCTCATACCGCTACCGCCGCTGCCGTTCACTCATCCTCACCTTTCTCGGCATCTACACCGCATACAAAATCACAGGCCCGCTCATTCGGTACGATAGCAAAAACTTCAAAACACCAATGCCGTAAAATCCTTCTCTGATTCCGTCAAAGATATGGTTATGCAGCATTTAAGGCACTGGCGTGGTTCGGATTCTATGTCCACTTCTTCATTCTGGGCATCGGATACATAGCCACCGGTGCGCTGGTGGTCTGCAACGCCCTACAAGACTTTCTGGACGGGCTAGAGGGTAAATGATGCTGAATGTGAGTGCCTTCCAGATATTCTTTTAGTCTAAGGCTATACCTGATGTCTTAGTTCAGCTGCTATCTTGAAAACCGCCGCCAGTAGTGATTATAACGACACGCGCCGCCCGCTGGAGCTGCACTCTGACGATTCACGAACACCGCCCGCTGGCCTGTATTTTTGCAGTACTACTGCGTACGTATAACAATCGCGCGCGCCGATCATCGTCGGATTGGTCTTTTGGCATAATTCATCTCATTGCGAGGTCCCTGTCCTCCCCTGGTCTGACTTCCGGCTTGCCGCGGGAACACGATCGCGGAATAACGGACGACTCCGTGCTTGCATCGTTATTGCACTCTGCCTTGCCAACTCTTTGTCTGTCTCACAACCAGTTGACTATGCCATTGTTGATGGAACTTTGCATCCCCCCTTCGACCCTGCCGGCTTTTCTCGTACATCTGCTTTCTCAGCTACCGCTCAAACCTCGTGAATTTCTTACGACCCATCAGTTTCGCGGAAGGACTGTAATGTCCTGTATGTCAATTACTCTCTTGACGGAAGAAAAAGCGGACGTGACAGCGAGTATGGCCCAAGCTCGGCGCAAAGCGGGACCTTCCGCGACCAGGCATTTTCTCGAAGTGTCGGAACTTTGAAAGATCGCCAACTTGACGCCAATAGCGAGGGGAGGAGGCATCAATATCCTGAATCCGGAACAGTGCGACCAAGCTTGATATTTGTATGCCTCTCACGGTCATGTGGACATATTCTCGCGTCTGTGTTTCATGCAAGACCATCTTGAAAGTTTGGTCAAAAGCAGCAGCAGAACGAGGAATTTCCGCATACTGTGTTTCTTTACATTTGTACACACAGCGAGTGCGGACCGTCCGCGACCAGGCCATTTTTTGGCACGTTTGGACCTTGATCTGATTCACGACTAATCAACCCTGAGAAAGAAATGTGAGGAGAAGGCCCGGCCCGTCAAGGTTGAGCACCTCCAGCGCAAATATCCGGGAATTTCCTGCGCCACATTCCCTCGCCCCCTGTCCATCCTATGTTCTGGAAGTATTTACGAGGCCGGCCGACGCCAAACGCGGATTCACATTCATGATTTTTTTGTTCGTTCAAATGATCTGCTCTGTGGTGATTTTTTTTCTAAACCCACAGAGAGTCATGACCAGCCACTGTCTGCCACCAATCTGCCACCTCCGAGTCCCAGCAACTTGGAACGTCGGTAGTGTCTGAGAAAGGCAATTCGGTGTCACGCGAGCAACACGTGAGATCTGACACCTGTCCCACGCTGTCTGCGAGGATCTGCAGCTTCCCTTCTTCTTCCATGTTACCTCAAGCGCTCCACCTTGAAAATGCAGTTTCCCAGCTCCCGCTGCGCCTGAGAGTGAGACTCAATCACTTTTCCATTAGTGACTCTCATTACACGATGCGTAGCTACTCGCGAGGGCGGCCGCAGCTGGTTCGTCGAAGGATCTGCAGCGTCTTCGAGACCTCGCAAAAGCAGTGCCGGCCTCTTCTCAAGTTGTCTTGTTTCTCCTCGTATTCTATGCGAACCTCGACCCCCGCTTGATTCCGTCCTCGGAACAAGTCGACACTCTACCCTGGAATGATTTTATACTCCCAATCTCAAACGCCGTCTGCTCGTTGGATTATCTTCGCATCCTGAAACCCATTCCAGTGGACGCTCGTCTGTCTATATGGCACCGGGTTTGGGCTTGGATGCAGTTTATTCACATATACCGGACCTGCATACATCGGCTGGAAACCTACTCGGAACCTGCTGTTTATGGCGCATTTTTAACGGTGGCGCACAGACTGGACCGGGATAAAGGGATCGGACAAGAACTCGGACAGGTACCCGGCTTCTCCGTCGTACTCGTTCATGCGTGGAAAGTATCCATCCTGGCGCCGGATGATGCATCGTCGTCCGATGCTCTGCGGGAGGTATGCACGCTTCTCTGTTCCTACTCTACCTCGACCGGGGCCCTGCCACATCATCTCGAGGAGTTTATCGAAGGCGCAGGTGGCAGCGTCTCTCATCTGGCATCTCTCGCTGTGAAGCACCTCGATCACCATGTCACCCACCCACATACACGCTTTCCGCTCTTTATACTTTCCAGCGTCGTCATGTTCTTAGCCACCAATCTCGAAGGCAAGCCCGCGTTCCAAGATGCCTTGGTCTCCCATGGATCCATGGCATGTTTCGTCCGTGTCGCCTTGGTGCTCGCGGAGGGACGTCATGGTCCCGGCGATGATATAATGATTGCTGGCGACGGATTCCTGCACAAGATGCTCTCACATACTTGGTCATATCTGATCATACACCTCCTAGAAACTCACGCGTACGGACGTGTGAGGGAGGCGGTTCGAGCGGGCCTCCTCCAGGCCATTGTTGCCTCCGCCATCGGCTGTGATACCACCTCCAATACACCGGAGTCGCTGCAGGCTGTCCTTCGGTTATTGAAGCAGTACACTGTCTACTACTCGGTCGTTTCATGTCTTGAACCCGCTTTGCGCGACGTTGAAGCCCTGCAGACTGCACATGGCTTTACCCATTCCTTCTTGTTCGACAACTGGAGTGCATTCTGGGGTTTGGCGCACGAGCGGATAGAAATGCTGAAATACTACGACTCGGCGGATTATGTGTCTCTCAAAGCCTGCAGCGCCTTAGAGGCAAGTCGCGTTGCCCCCCTTTCCTCATTTGATACCGACAAATTGATAGTGCGGCGATATCCACCGGAAACGCGACCTGTTGCGTTGCTCCTCGTGTAAACGGCAGTGGTACTGCTCCAAGCGATGCCAGAGCGATGACTGGAAGGATGGTCATCGTGAAGCCTGTGATCGCATGGTTTCATTGCGTCAGAGTAAGCTTGAATTTTGTTGTTTCAACCTTCCGCCTCATCATAGAATTTTAGCCGAGCCCGAGCCTTTAAGCACCAGGGATCGATCGTTTCTACGCGCGCTCATTGACCACGACTATAAGCTGACCCAACCAACGATTCTCCTATGGGAGTTGGACTTTATGAACGCATACCCGGGCCGAATCCCTTGCGTTCTTTTCGACTACTCGCAGGGGCGCTCAAAATTCAACGTTATTCCGGCCATCGATTTCCCTGATAAATGGTCCGACGATGTCGCCCGTGCAACCCGACATAGGGGGCGCTTCCAGCTACATTTTGCAATTCTGCCAGTAGCAGACATCGACACAACGAGACTCTTTCCAATGCAGTCGAGCAGCGGGGCGTTAGTGGAGAGCTTGGAGCGGTTGAAAGAGGAGCTAGATGAAGGACTCGGTTCTTCGGCGCCGATGCATGAACAGATCCAGGGCAGGATAGCTGCGGCAATGAGCATGGCGGCCCATGTAACCCAGATTCATTGAATTCGGTAAGTACGTTCGTTCCAACAACCTTGCGGTCCGATATTTCCTCACGATCGCATTCTCCAGTCGCAAACATTCTGTTATCCGGATCCTGTCCTTACCGGGATCCTGTCGTGAACGTTGTGTACATTTTCTTCTCCCATCGCCGGCTTCCCATCAATAATCTACGTCGCTGGGTTGCCGTCTCGGTCTCCAGGATTCCGCCAACGACTTTTCAAGACTTGGACTACGTAGGATCACAAAATGGCGCACCGAATGGAACATGACCTTGACTAATGTAAGTTTGTCTCTTCGGTCGCTCTCGCCGTCGCCCGAACGTGTTTCCACATTCTACGCAACCAGTCTGCACATCGGCTGTGCGGACCTTCTGACCAGGCTTTCCTCGCTACGTATGAACGTTCGCCGGATTCGCAATTCAACCCATTGAACTGAACGTGATCCATAGAAACGAACGATCGCACTCTGCGACTGGGCTCACGTTTACCTGAAGAGTCTCGTATCAATTTCCGGAACTCCTCGTGTACAGTAGTATCCGCGCGCCTACTACTGGAAATTCAGGAGAGATAGATAAACAAAGAAAGAAAAAGAATCAAACCGCCAACAGATTATGGCCCGGGTTCGAGTCGAACGAGCAATCCCCACGAAACAGAGTGTTCTGGGACCTTACGGATAAACTGCGGGTGCGGACCGTCCGCAACCAGGCCTTTTCTTGCCGTTTTTGAACTTCTTCAGGTTCGCGTCTAGAATTTGAATGCTGAGTGAAGGAAAAGGCAATACCTAACTTCGAGTTGAACTACTCACCACAAGTCCTTCTGGGGAGCCTCGTTATCTGGGAATCTATCAGTTTGATAGAGAGGTTACTTGGCCGAAAAAAGCAAGGATAGCGAAAAGATGGCCCAGGCTCGAGTCGAACGAGCAACTCCCGCATAAGGCCATTCTGCATACCTATGCACAGCGGGCGCGGACCGTCCGCGACCAGGCCATCTCTGGGTGCATTTGAACGCTGACCTGATTTGAGTCTGATTCATCACTAAATGCAACTCAACGCTGAAGAAAAAAAAATGTGAGGACGTGGTCTCGGACAAAATTCAATTTCAGCACCTGCCCCAGAAGCGCTCGGGGATCCTTGTCTGGCTGTGAAACCTGTCAATATGTGGAGAGGAAGGAAAAAAAAAAACATTGGACGATCATGGCCCAGGCTCGAGTCGAACGAGCAAATTCCGCACATATACAGCGTATGTCAAGCCTATGCACAGCCGGTGCGGACCGTTCGCAACGAGGCCTTTTCTTGGTACGTATGAACGTTGACCTGATTCACACTAATTAACGCGAAGAAGTAATGTGAGGACGTGGCCCAGTGGGACACAGTTCAATTTGAACCCCTCGGAAATTGTCGAGGGAGCCTAGTGTACTGGGGATCCTGTCAGTTTAATTATAATGGAGAGGCTACTTGGCCGAAAAAATGGACAACGGGAAAAGAATATGGCCCAGGCTCGAGTCGAACGAGTGATCCCCCAAGAACGCTGGTCAAACACTATGCATAGCGGGCGCAGACCGTCCGCAACCAGGCCTTTCTTTGCCTTGGTTCGGGGAATAGTCGTGTAGCTGTGAAACCTGTCAATGTTCGGGAGAAAATGAAAAAAGGTAAACATGGAACAGCAGTCGAACGAGCAATTACCGCGCCGCACACATGCTACTGCACCAAACATGTACAGCGGGTGTGGAGCGTCCGAAACTTTGCCTTCCCGCAGCGAGTTTTGAACTCGGCCAGAGACGAACTGAATAAGAGCGCGCGGCGAGAAAAGTCGGGGGTTCATCATTGCATCTTGAACCTATGAATTAATCAGTTTAGTTGAAAGACGGGGCTTTGAACCAACAAAAGAAATCACACCTCACAGACTACGGCCCCGGCTCGAGTGGAACGAGTGTTTCCCGCGGAACAGCAGGGCTGGGCAGATACTATGCACACCGAGTGCGGACCGTCCGCAACCAGGCCTTTGTTTGGCGTGTTGGAACTTTATCGGATTCACGACTAAATGGCGACGAGCGAAAAAACGCAGGACGCGCCACACAAATGTTCGGGGTTACTCGTGCCGCTGTGAACCCACCAATCTCGGAGTTTGAAGACGAAGAAAAAACCTTCTATCTGTCACCGTCATGGCCCAGGCTCGAGTCGAACGGGCAGATCCCGCACATATTCAGCGATTGTTAAATATCTATGCGCAGCGGGTGCGGACCGTCCGCGACCAGACCTTTCTTTGGCGTGTTGGAACTTGATCAGATTCACGCGTGAAATCTCGTTATTGGTCAGTGCAGAAAAAGTCATGCTCAGGTTGAACCCCTCCCAGATTTTTTAGCGAGCATCCGAGTGTACCTGTGAACCTATCAGTTCAAGGGAGGTGAGTTGACAGAACAAAAAGAAGGGCGGAGGTAAATGTCGATGGCCCAGGCTCGAGTCGAACAAGCGATTCCCGCATATATTTAGTCGATGTCAAAAGTGCCTATGCACAGCGGGTGCGGACCGTCAGCCACTGGGCCTTTCTTTGGTGCGTTTGAACCTCTGCAGATTCACGACTAAATGCGACTACTTATAGCCAGTGGTGTGAAGTAAGTGTGAAGAAAGAAAATGTAAGGAGGTGGCCCGCCCGGCAAAGCTGAACACCTCCCGCGAAAATTCCACACGAATGGGCAAGAAGAAATCCTCCTCTTGTCCCTGTGAACCTATCAACTCTTGAAGAGAAAAAAAAGATTACCGGTCCAAACTATGGCCCAGGCTCGAGTCGAACGAGCATTTCCCGCGAAATGGCACCGCTATTCGATTTGCGAACTAACTACGGGTGCGGACCGTCCGCAACCAGGCCATTCTTTACCTCGTCGAACGGCTGTAGACTTGCAACCAGAAAACAAAAGTCATTGGCGAATGGAGGGCTGCCGACGCAGCCCAGGTTGAATCCTTCAGCAGAGATTTTTAGGGAGCCTTGTGTACCTAGGACTTGACAGTTCAATAGAAAAACGACTTGGCCAACAAAAAATCCACCTTTGGTGACTATGGCCCATGCGCGCATGCTCGAGTTGACGAGCAATTGCCGCGAAATGTCATTGCTGTTCGACTGATGAACTGCGGGTGCGGACCGCCGGCAACCAGGCCTTTGCTTGGTACGCATGAACCTTGAGCTTGTTGACCACTAAACAGCCGATAGCCACACTAGACTAGTCGGGAAAATTTATGGACATGGCCCGGGTACGGTTTGCCGGAAGGACTCGGATGGATTCCAGATACAACATCAAGATCACAAGTTCGAACCAGCCAAAGAGTGATAAAAAATTACATTTCATACTGTCAGGGATGATTTTGTGTACTTAGGCATCCTTTCAAGGGCATCTCCTTCACTTGCAATGAGCTCTTTCGCTACCATACATTTTTTTGGGTTCGATGCAACTGTTTTCGGCCATTGCCGAGGCTACTGATGGCATCAACACCGGGTTTATTTGATGGTTTGTGTGCCTTGCACACACTGGTAGCACCACGTAGAGCCTCCATGACTGTATACCTGTATTGTACACATGCTGCGTACATAACATCATAGGAATAAACCTTTAGCACCATGACCAACTCGCATCATCCAAAGCATTTGATGGTAGCCGGGATCTTCCGGTGCACGTTCAAAGTCGTCTGCCTACGTATACTGTCCAAACGAGAGCATCAGCAATCTTTAGCTTGGGTTTGCTATGGCTAACTCAACCGACCGCACCAGTTTGAACTTTTATGTGCACCGGAAAATCCCGGCCACCATCAAATATGTGGTTTGCTTGGGCTGCATCGTGTTAGAACCCCATTCCTCCAAAATTGGGTGTACAATGCCTTACATAGCTCGCATGTGCGGTGGTGGTACCATCAAAACAAAGACAATTTGGAGAGTGTTGTGTACCTAGGAATCTATCAGTTCAATAGAGAGGTGACTTGTCAGAGAAAAATGTTGAATAGGTAGACGATCATGGCCCAGGCTCGAGTCGAACGAGCAATTCCCGCGAAACTTATTCCCCGGAATGATGAACCGCGGGTGCGGACCGTCCGCAACCAGGCCTTTGTCCTAGCACAGTTGAACCGTGAGATTGCTCAGAACCACGTCCAAAAGAAACACACAATTAAGAGTCGTCAACAAGCTTGAAGCCTCAAGATCTAGAATTCATCGGTACGGTACATCCGTGGATGTGGGGTCGTCTACCGCGGCCGTCTCACGCAAGCAATCTCACGCCAGCAAGGAAGCATGCAAACTACTGTCTCCTGCGCGTCCACTCCGAGTCGTCCTTCTCCTTCGCCGGCTTCCCTTCGTCGCTTGCGCCGCGCGAGTACGAGTGTCCCTCGACCGTGCGCTTCTGCAAGTCCTGCGGGGTGCCGTGCGCTTGGTCTGCCTACACCACAAAAAGTGGTTCGTCAGCACTGGCACGGCACGACAGACGGGTGGATGGAATGGCGAAGAAGGATGGGGACGAAGGATGGAGAGAAGGATGCAGAGCCAAGAAGGAGAGCGAAAGGAGGAGAGGATGAAGAGTGAGAGAGGGAGAAGAAGAAGAAGGAAACACACCTTCACAGCAGCCTCGGACGCGCTCGCAAGCGGCTCGTTCCACCCCGGCGCATGCGCGTGCGGCGTCTTGTCGCTGTCCTTGTGCTGCGTCCCTCTCCCCGACAGGCTGCGCTTCTTCTCTTGTTCGAGCGTCTCGGGGTCGTTATCGTGCATCGTGCTGTGAGGTGAGTTGTCAGCGAACAGAGAAACGAAAGAGAAAGGGGAAAGGAAGGAGGAAAGAGGAAAGAGACACGGCAAGAGCAACGTACCTGGAGAATCTAAGCGCCGCGCGGGCCGGAGTGTATGCTTGGGCTGGGAACTTTCGTGTAGCTGCACCGACGACGCGGAGGGCGGGACGGGCGAAGACGAGGGTGTACATGGTGGGCGGAAGTAAGAGTGAAGAGTGGAAGGAAGAGGTGTGACAGTGACGGACGCCGGATCGAATCGCAATGATGTCAGCGTCATGTGACCGTGTCCTCGGCAAGCCCCAGACGCGTCGCGTCAACGGGCGCTTGACAGAAGAGCTGTTAAACCTGCGACGAATGGTTTGAGGCCTGGAACGAGAAATGGACCGCTTCTTCGAACTTCAGCCAATGCCCGGACTCAAGTCGAACGAGTAATTCCCGCCAAGATTGCGCTGCAAAGGACGGATGCATAGCGGGTGCGTTCCGCGACCGGGCTTTTGTTTGGTGCGTCTGAACATTGGCCTGATTCACGATCAAACGCAGGATGAAGGTGATGGAACACTTCTCGCATCGATTTCTACATAGAGCTCCTCCTGTATCCGTTGGAAATTGAGATGGAGGGAGAGGAACGAAGAACGAAGGAAAGTGAGAAGAAAGAAAAAAAGGATGGCAGCAGACTATGGCCCAGTCTCGAGTCGAACGAGTGATTCATGGGGGAACCAGGCCTTTCTTTGACTATTCACCTAGATTTGAATGGCGAGTGAAGAGATCAGGGCTGCAGACGTGGCTGGCCCAGGTCAGACCCCCAAGCACAAATTTTCCAGGGAGCCTCCCGTACCTGGGAACCGGTCAGTTGGTGACTTGTTAGAGAAAAAGGTTGAATGGGTGAACGATCATGACCCAGGCTCGAGTCGAACGAGCAAATTCCGCACATATTCGGTATATGTCAAGGGGCCGATGTATGCACAGCGGGTGCGGACCGTCCGCGATTAGGTCTTTTTGTGGTGCGTATGAAGGTTGCCTTGACTCACGACTACGCGCGACTGCTGAAGGTGATAGAACGTGTACACTTCTCGCGCCGATTTCTGGAGCCGCGCAGCTACTGGAAATTCAGGAGAGATAGACAAAGAACGAAAGGAAAAGAATCATACCGCCAACAGAGACTATGGCCCGTGCTCAAGTCGACCGAGCAATTCCCGCGAAATGTTTTTCTTCGACCTGATGAACCGTGA